TTATTGACGATAAAGTGATCACAGAAAAAGCTATAAAATCATGCCTGTTTATGTATCACGAGGGTAGTTCCATTGGACGAGATTCTAGTCTTCGGAGTACTGGTCAAAGACTTAGCTCACAACAATTCTATAAGTGTTGAGGTAGACTCATGATTGAGGTAGATAAGAGAACTCTGGTGAAAGAAGTTCACCGCTTAGCCTAGCTAGGATTTCAATTTGCGTACTCCAAAGATAGTAGAGTTGTTGTCTAGAATATGACTTGTTCCTCCTTAGTAGCCGAAGTGAAGGAGAAATAGTTTGATGATCCCTACTTGTTGTAGCTGAAAGAGGGGATTCACAGGCATAAGATGATGGCTTTTAAACAAGGGGGAGATGATAGCACTTTGACGTACCACGATAGATTGTGTGTTTCAACCGTATATGGACTTAGTGAGGGCAGAAGATGTTAGAAGTCCATAATTCCAGGTATTCTATCCACCCAGGCTCCCCAGAGATGTATCATAGTCTTAAGGATATTTATTGGTGGAACGTCATGAAAAAGAACGTTGCAGACTTTGTGGCCAAGTGTCTGAATTATCAGTAAGTGAAAGTCGAGTAGCAGAAAGCCTAGTGTTTTACCACAGAATATACATATTTTGAGTGGAGACGGTAAATATGGAATGTATAACAAGACTATCTTGCTCAATTTGGAAGCATGATTTGATTGAGTGATTGTAAATCGACTTACCAAGTCAGCGCACTTCTTGCTAGTAAAAACTACAGATTCAGTAGAAGATTATACCAAGTTGTACATTCAGAAAATCGTCTGATTGCGTGGGACTCTGTTGTCCGTCATTTCGGACTATGGTGCTTAGTTTAAAATGAATGTTTAGAAATTATTTCAGAAAGGATTAGGAACAAGTTTTTCATCCTCAGAAAGATGGCCAGGCAGAGCGCATTATTCAAACAGTTGAGGATATGTCCTTGATGTTAAAAGTAATTGGGATGATCACACACCTCTCATTGACCTTGCTAATAATAACCTACCATTCTAGTATCAAGATGGCACGTGCGAGACTCTGTATGGGCGAAGGTGTAGATAGCCAATTGGTTGGTCTAAAGTTGGTGAAGAGGAGTTGTTGGGACCAAATTTGGTCTATCAGGCTATAGAGAAAGTTAAGTTGATTCAAGAGCATTTGAAGACGACTCAGAGCCGCCAAAAGTCCTATTCGAGCGTGCGGCATAGAGACCTAGAGTTTCAAGTTGATGATTGGGCGTTTCTGAAAGTTTTGCTTATGAAAGGCGTTATGAGATTTGGGAAGAAGGGGAAGCATAGTCCCTGCTATATTGGGCATATAGAATCTTGCGAAGGATCGGTCAATTAGCTTATGAGTTGGAGTTGCCACCATAATTAGTAGTGGTACAGCCAGTATTTCAGGTGTCATGTTATAACATTCAAGTTTCCAGTACTCAAGTACTCATGACAGTTCAGTACTCAGATATTCATGTCAGCTTAGTACTCAAATATTGATATAAATTTAGTACTCAGATATTGATGTTAGTTCAATACTCAATTATTCATGCCAGTTCAATATCCATATATCCATGTTAGTTCAGTATTCACGTATCCGTGGCAGACCAATATTCAGTCAATGCAGTAGTCATTCAGTTCAGTATCTCAACAGTTCAGTAATCATGTATTCATTCAGTTTAGTATCCAAGTGTTAATGAAAGTTCAAGTTCCCACCAGACCCGTTTAAGGTCCGGAGTTGGCAGAAGTTACAGTCAGGACAATCATTCGAGGACGAATGATCCCAAGGGGGAGATAATGTAACACCCCGTACATTCGGACTAGGTGTGGATATGTTAAATGGGTATTAATTTGATATTTTAGACATATGAAGTCCTAGAGGGATGATTATTGGTGAAAATAGTTGTTTCAGAATCAAGATGGAGAGTGAGGTGCATAAGATTCGACAAAATCGACTAAGTTTACAAAAGGTCCGTCTTCCATCAGCAGTTAGTGAAAATTTGTAAGGGATTTGGGAAATCTCAAAAGATGAAAGTTGTAGGCCTTTGAAATGGCTTTCCAACGATATATTATGGAGACCGAACGGATCTCTGTGCAAAAAGTTATGTGCATTTTACAGAACAGTGTGCAATATGCATGCCCCGTGCGCGCCCCCAGCGCGGCCGCGCACCTGTGGCAGTGTTACTGCCATTTTGTGCGGTCGGGTGCGCGGTCAGGCCTACAAGTGCACGGGGGTTCACTTGGGGGGGGGGGGTCATTTTAAAGCCCTACTTCGTCCTCCACACCCCCAAAACACAAAAACTTCCTCTAGAAAGGGGAGCTCTCAAAAATCTAACTCCTTAAGAGTCCCTCCACCACCCAAGGTAAGTTCTAATGGTGATTCTAAGTTAATTTCAATTTTCCAACATCTTATTAACATGAGTAAACCCTCCATATCATTAGATAATCGATTGGGACATCATTGTTGAGAGAAGAAATCCTAGAACTCGAATTCAAGGGGAGTGAACTTCAAAAAGATAATGTCTTCACCCTCTAATTGATTCTAGCATTGGATTAATGATTATAGACTCTAGTTCATGAGATATGAGTTTATGGGTTTGATAGAAAAGCATGAACGGTTATAGGTTTGGATTGTTGATTGTTGATTATTGGTTAAGGGTGTTGTTTACCTTATGGGTGATAAAGAATGATGTTGATTATAACCATTTGAGACTTTAAAATTTATCTAGGAGCAAGAGAATGAATTATTGGGTGTAGAGACACCATTAATAAGGACTATGAAGATTTATTCTCATCAAGTGTTTGATAAAATGCTTAAGGGACCAAAACATGATATCATAGCTAATATGGAATCCCTTTGACTTGTATTGCTATAGATTAAAGTTGAAAGGGTTGACAAACATTGTATTACGCTCAAGAGCAGGAAGTTAAGGTATGTGAGGCTAACTCTCTATGTTTGGGAATTTTAATGATCCTCCCTACACTGCGTTTCTTTTACGACGTTACCAATTGCCTCAGAAATATAGTTAAGCCTAGTTCCTTGAATAGTTGCAGAACTTCTATTCTCTAGCTTCGTAACTCGTTCATGATTTTCATTCTGAACGTTGTGAAATCAGCGCGTAATCAATATAGACTTGGGTTTGATGCCCATGAGTCTCAGTCTAGATTACTCAGCATGTCATAAATAGTTGAAGTTTCAATTTTCATAATCAGTTCATGAATACATGTCCCAGTCTAAGCATTCAAGTATCATGTGACTTAGTATGGTTCAGTATTTCAGCATCATGTATTTCAGTATGATTCTCAGTTCCTGAATGTTGAACACCTGTATTTGGGCCTGAGGCCGTAGTTTATATGCTTTATGCATACTTGGGCCTGAGGCCGTAGTTTATGCTTTATGCATGTTTGTGCCTGAGGCCGTAGTTTATGCTTTATGCATTTTTGGGCCTGAGGCCGTAGTTATGTATATGTATACTTGGGCCTGAGGCCGTAGCTTGTGCACATATATATTGGGCCCGAGGTCGTAGCTTATTCAGATAAACAGGTTGTTCATCATTCAGAAGAGGGAGTATTCATATCCTTACTTCCTTTATCATTTCAGTTATCAGTTATCATTTCAGTTACCTGTTATAAGTTCAGTTATCAATTATCAGTTATCATTTCAATTTTAGTTTCAATAGTTATCATTTCAGTTATCAATTATCAATTCTCAGTTATCAGCTTAGTTTCAATTTCAGCATTTATAATTCTTTCTTTCAGTTGCTTTACATACCAGTGCAATTCAAATGTACTGACGCCCCTTTTGCCCGGGGCCTGCATCTCACAATGCAGGTAATGATTTACAGGTTGACGATTCAGAGCGCTAGGGTTCTCGTACCAGCTATTTGGTGATCCCCAATTCTTTCGGGGAATTATCATTACCTTACAGTCTTCAGTATTTTCAGACAGTCAGTGTTTTCAGTATTTCATTAGAGGCTTCATAGACTAGAGTAACAGTTAGACAGAGTCGCAGGCTTTTCATGTTAAGCTATGTTGGCTACAAAGATGTTCAGAATTGTATTAGTATTTCCCCACTTTGATTTATATCATCCAGACTTTCATATACCAACATGTGTTAGTTTATCTTCCGCATTTAGTATGTTATGATATAACATGTTGATTTAGCCAGCTAGTTGGTTCGCTCGGTCACATGTAGTCATGCACCGAGTGCCGTGTTACGTCCAGGCCCAGGTTCGGGGCGTGATACTTTTTCCTATGTCACTCCTTATGTTGCTATGGAATTCGGGATAGAACTAGAACAACTTCATGAGCCGTTCTCTGTATCTACTCCGGTTGGTGAGTATTGTGGCCTCGTGGGTTCATAGGGATTGTGTTGTCACGGTGCGTGGTCGGGACACCATGGCCGATCTCATTGAATTGGAGATGGTTGATTTTGATGTAATAATGGGAATGGATTGGCTTTATTCATATTTTGCCAAGCTTGATTGTCGAACTATAACTGTGAGATTTGAATTTCCAAATGAGCCAGTTGTTGAATGGAAGGGGGATAATGTGGTTCCAAAGGGTAGGTTTATTTCTTAGCTTAAGGCCACGAAGATGATTAACAAGGGGCACTACAAGAAAGATGAGCTACGACGATATTTAATTAGTGACATTTATAATAAATGTCGGAAAAAAGTTTACTTCTTGACATTTGTTAAAAAAATGTGGCAAAAAATTGACATTTGATAAACAATGACAGAAAATATAGTGACATTTGATCTAAATGTCACATGATTAAGAATAAGACGACATTCATTATTGACATGTATGGTAAATGTCAAAAAATTGTAGTAATTTAAAAAAGAAAGAGGGAATTTTTTTAACTTCCCTCCCAAATTTCCATCTCAAATATCTAAAAGAAACCCTACTCTGCGACCTTCTTTCAGAACAATTCAAGTTCATTCTCCTC